TTTTCCTGAAGAAGCAATGGGACTGGCATAATTCATCAGAGAGAGAGAGGAGGAGCTTGTGTCTGCCCAGTGCAGTGCTAACTGGCAGATGAAGAAAATAAACACAGAGTTGCACTAATTAGGTTTTTAATAGTCTGTGTTCCTGGGACCTGGGCAACAGAGGACACATTGTTATGAGAAAATCAGGTTAATTTTTTGCAGTTGAAAGGAACTTTAGAACTAATCAATTGTTATATCCTCAATTAACTCTTGGGGTTTATAAACAGGTTAAAGGATTTTGCTAAAAACAAGATCTTAGATCTCCTCGCCTCACAATACTGGTACATTTCTGTAATCACATAGAGGTTTAACACTTTTACAATTGAAGACTTGGGGTAAATGGGACTTTGGGCCCCACAGCCACATTCTAAGTTCAAGTGCAGCTAATCTAACCACGCAGGGCTTTCAACCAAGTCTGCAACCCCCTTAGCTAAAAAACTCCATCCAAACTTTGAAAACAGTACGAAAAGTGAAAGACGTCAGACGCAAAAAAGTCAGACACATATTATATGATTTCATTTATACAAAACATCCAGAATGGGCAAATCCACAGAGACAGAAAGTAGATTAGTGGTTGTCTGGGACTGGGAGGAGGGGAATGGAAATGTTGGTTATGGGGCTTTTTTGAAGGATGATGAAAATACAGATGGCCCCTTAACTTATGATGGTTCAGTTCATCTTACAGATGGTTCCTAAATTGAAAACTTAAGACTATCTCAACTTCACAATGGTGTCAAAGTTACACATTCAGTAGAAACTGTACTTTGAGTACCCATACAATCATATGTACAGTATTCAATAAATTACATGAGATACTCAACACTTTATTATAAAATAGGCTTTATGTCAGATGATTTTGCTCAATTGTAGGCTAATATAAATGTTTTGAACACATTTAAGGTAGGGTAGCCTAAACTATGATGTTCAGTAAGTTAGGTGTATTAAATGCATTTTCGACTTACAATATTGCCAATTTATGATGAGCTTATTGGGATGCAATACCATTGTAAGTCGAGGAATGTCTATGTTCCATAACTAGTGGTGATGGTTGCACAATATTGTGAGTATACAGAAAATCAGTGTATTGTTCATTTTGAAATAATGGTGAATTTCATGTTATGTGAATTTTATCTCAACTGAATTAAAAACAAAAAACCAAAAAAACCAAAAAGTAGAGGTACAATGATCAGATGGGTGAGTGGGGATTGCTTAAAGAGTTGCCCCTTGTGAGCTCTTCCTGGGAGGACATGTAGTACTTCTCCAAGTAACCTCCCCATTTCTAGTCAAGTAAAGAGGGCATCCAGAGAAACAAACACCCTGTGCACACTGGGGGTTCAGAGAGTACAGGAGCCAGAGTTTGAGCCTGCTCTGAAAATATGTCTCCATATTGTGAGCAGTATAGGATTGGGTGAGAGATCTGGTTATATAACAAATCTCGGGCAATTCACAAAAATCAACTGGAGTAGGCCAAGAGAACAGGCTACTATAGGAGCTGAGTGCACTTCTGGAGTTGCTGGGCAAAGGTATGTGTTTCCTGTGGGCTAAGGCTTAATTTACATTGTACAAACCCTATTAAGAGTGCCCCCCTCCAGAGTGAGGAGACCTCTGCAGGAAACTCCTATGTGCCTGTAGAGCCATTGACCCCCATGAACTCCATCTCCAAAGAACACCCAATGTGTCTCCTCAGGTTATAAAAAGGACACATTAGATGTCTGCCAATACACCTGATTATAGGAACCATGCTAGAATCAAATGCGATAAAGAATGTGAAAGCCCTTCATAAGATATAAAGTGCTATTAAAGTGTTATTAGTAAAAATGGCTTTAGAATCATCAAACTAGTGCTATAACAATTTCTTATATCTCTAATTCCTTAAGTCTTTGATTACAACCTGAGAAAATCTGGAAATCACAAGGCTAGAAGAACCCCTGAGATTTCATCTCCTCAAATTGCTTGCCTAGAGGCAGAAGTTATTTCCAAACCCAGCCAGACACTCACATGACCACATCCAGACCAGCACACTAGGTTCAGAATTATCTCAACTGTCAAGTCACTTTCTACTATCCCTTGGAGCCATTACTGAATGGTCAAAAATACCAATAGATTATGTCATGTGGAAGAGACCAGAAGAATATCTGTCCTATTTTAAACTCCTGAGAAGGCAACTCAACCATCTGTCTTGGCAACCCATTCTAGGTTGGATCCACCCTGGCAGAAACATCTCTCTTCTGTTTAATCTAAATCCTTCAAATAGAACCTTGAGATAATTGCATCCCATTTCATTTCCAAATAATTTGGAACACAGTTGTTTACCATCTGGGTTAAAGAATTATATAAAGTCACAGGGTTGTAGTGAGCAGTAAATAAAATAATGTATGTGTCTGGCACATAATAATGGCTCAGTACATATTTATTATTTCCATCATTATATATATTGGGATTCTGTCAGTCACAAGTGACATAAACACAACTCAGAATAATTTAAGCAAAGAAAAAAGATGAAGGAGGTAGAAAGTATAATTAACAAGGAAATAAAAGTGTGCAGTGGCCTTCAGGTACTACTGGATCCAGGACTCAAATAATGTTTGCAGGGCTCGTCTTTCCCTTTCTTTCCCTACTTCTTTCAGACAGACTTTTGAGGTGTAAAGAAGCAGGATGGCAACCAGCAGATTCAGGTGGTTAACCACCTTGAATAGGTTCCCCACTCATCAGTTCATGCATCAAAAATTTATTGATTTGTCAGCCAGGGTTCTAGAAGCTGAGAATAGATTAGTGTCCAAGACAGATAAAATTGCTGCCCTCATGGAATTTATCTTCTAGGAGAAAGAAGAGATCTGCTAGAAGAAAGTAAAGAGGTGAAGGAATGCTAGAAAGACAAAAATGTTACCCTCCACAAAATAAGGTCACATCTTACCTTATTATATCACACCATTAAGGTCAACTCTTACCTGTCTCTTTTCCCAGCTAGTAAACCCAACCCTTTCACAACTTTCTTCCCTTCAACAAATTTGAGGGTTAAAACCCTCAGATCAGGTCTTCAAATGGATAAATAGCCTTGTCTGTGGATTTTGAGTGCATTTAGCTTATTTATGTTGTGCAATCTCTGCATAATGTTTATAAGACTTGCCTGCAGCTATAAAAACATAACCTTCCCATTTCCATGTTTTAAAACTCACTTACTCTTCTTAGACTATCTTTGTATTAAATATAGGTATTTCTTCTGCCTTCATGGTTTTCTTTGAATAGGATGTCAGCAAAATACTGCAAAAACCTGGTTATTTATCAGTCATTTTAAAAGTATTCTTCTGAGTAATTTTAATTCTATTTATCTGTGTTAACCATTCCAATTCCATAAAAACGAAGACCTAGTAACCAAGATTTTTCAGAACCCCAGAAGTGTGGCCTAATCTTAGCAAATCTCAGTCTCTGCCTGTCCCTTGGGAGCTCGCAGCGAGGAATGCCTGTATTACTATGCTAAATGTAACTTTTCATGAAACTGAAGCTAATCCGAATCAAGTTGTCCTCAGTTAAACATGTCTTGATTTATCACTGCTAGTCCAGCTTTATTCCACAATCACGCTGACAAAATTGACCATGCATACAATTCTACTTAAATTAGGCACTGGTCTGACAGATCTGTGCTACCACAGCAATGACTCGGGGACAATGTAGGGACCAACTTTCACTAAATCCAAGATTGCTTAAGCGTGGAGGGCCGTGGGAGGGTAAAAGGTGGTGGTTATTGTCATCGTTTTTATTTTTTAAATACTATTACAATTTATCTGCCCTGTCCTGTTTTCTCATTTGATCTGCTATTCTTTCTGCTGCGGTTAGCATCTTTTGCCAGGCCAGTAATTTCTTTATTTTAATCCGGATATAATGGCCAAATGGGCCATTTGGCTCAGTCAAATCCCATCGTTAAAACTTATCTCGGAATTAAACAAAAATGGATTTTTAATCGAAAAGCTCATCAGCCTCATGGCCTCTACCTCATTTTCGAATGGCCTTGTCCAGCTCGCACCTTCTGTGCCGGCTGGACCACTGCACTCTGGAGGGGGAGCCTGCCCGCCTCTAAGGTCCCTGGACAGCACGAGCCACGAACATACTCGCAAAAAAAGAAAAGAAAAGAAAGAAAAAGAATCTGGCTCTAGGAATATTATTATCATTATTATTATTTAGGTTAATACTCCTATCTGCATTCCAGCCAGAAGGTCGGCTCCAAGCCTTCTTTCCTGCTACCCTCCTCCTCCTCAAATTGGGCACTATCCCTGAGGCCGCCTTCTGAGTTAGGAAACGGATGGAACTTTCCTAGGGAGGTGAGGGGTGTCCCCGCTGCGCCTTCTCTGTACCTCCCCTCAAGCTGAGATCCATGTCGCGCCAGAGGAAACGTGCCAGACTTCCCTGCCTCCCCGACCTCCTCCCCAAATGTGGGCGGAGACGTAAGGCTGCTTCTGTGTTTATTTTGTAAACCTTGAAAGTCAACTGCACTTAGCGTCCATAAAGCCCCCTTGGCCCTCGCCCCAAAGCAAAGCTCTGAGGTCGGAGGACTGAGTGAACAAGGTCTGGGGAGAGACGCGACCTAGGCGGCCGCGACCGAGTGGGTGCCCAAGGGTGCGACTCTTCCCTTTGGGGCTGGGCATCTCCCCCTTAACCTTGCCCGACCCACCACTGCCCTGCTTTGGGCTGGACGAACGGACACAGTTGGCAAGGCACTGGATGGGTGCGTCCTTACCCGGGGACGCGAGTCTGGGCCTCGGGTGTGGACCCCTGCCCCCGCCCCCGTTAGCGCGGCGGTTCTCCAGGTCCGGAGGGCAGCAGGAGGGGAAAGCGAGAGGCGGCGGCGGGGCCGCGGGATGGCCTGAGGGGGGCGCCGGCCGCGGCTCGGATTGGCTGCGCCGCCGTCCCCTCTCGCGCTGCGCGCCCCTCGCCACGCGCCCAGCTGGCCCCTTCCCGCGACCTCGGAGCTGCCTCCCACAGGAGGGAGGACGCGGAGGGGCGGCACCCGCCTCCCCGACCCTGGGCGCGCGGGAACCCAGGTCCTTCAGCCTCCCGAGCGCGCAGAGGTGGGGCCGGCCCGCTGCCGACCCGCTGCCCGCACCCCCGCCCCTCGGACCCGGCTCCGGGAGCGGGGCGCCCGCGCGGGCACACGGCGGCCAGAGCGCCGAGGCGGTACCTTCAGCCGTGCAATGAGAAGAGCTCGGGAGAACCAACCGGAGCCAGCAGAGAGCTTGGCTGCGCCCGGTTTGTTGCTGCCGCCGCGGCTGCTTGAAACTCCCCAAAGTTGAAAGCCGGCGAGAGGCTGCCGCCCGCCGGGAGCAAGAGGGAAAGGAAGTCGGAAGGTGCAGGAGTGACAGACACGGACCACGGACGGACAGACGCGCAGACCTTCAGAAGACAACACGTCGGCGGCCTATCCCCCAGGCTCGAGAGGCTTCCCAGCTCCGTGAGTTGTTTTCTGGACGGGTAGCTTGCTAAGTATTTCCGCTGAATTGTTTACAGGATGCGTTTGTGTATTTTTGTGTCTGTTGGAGGGAATTAAAAAAAACAACACAGGATACACCTTTTAAAAAAATTGAGTTTCTGATGGTGAGACAGTTGTATTGAGGGAATGTGACTGTAAATGTCTGTCTATAAGCAGCAATAATAACCCCGGGGAAAAATGCATTTAAACAGTAAAGAGGCAACATAGAGCTCTCCAGTGTGAAATAAATAAATAACCCATTTCAAAAGTTATTAGAAAGTAAGGTATACTCTTAAGGGTTAACTAGTGGTGGTTAACTTCTGCATTTTACCCCCTCTTAAATATTAACTGTTTACCAGGTTCCCTGGTGGGAGGCTGAGCTGGTGGAAAAGGCACCAGGAAGAGACTCAGCGGCGACCATAATGTCTTTTCGCTTACACACACTGCCCACCCTGCCAGGAGCTGTCAGACCCGGCTGCAGGGAGCTGCTGTGTTTGTTGGTGATCACGGTGACTGTGAGCCCTGGCGCCTCGGGAGTGTGCCCCACCGCTTGCATCTGTGCCACTGACATTGTCAGCTGCACCAACAAAAACCTGTCCAAGGTGCCTGGGAACCTTTTCAGACTGATTAAGAGACTGGATCTGAGTTATAACAGAATTGGGCTTCTGGATGCTGAGTGGATTCCAGTGCCATTTGTAAAGCTGAACACCCTAATTATTCGTCATAACAACATCACTAGCATTTCCACAGGCAGTTTTTCCACAACTCCAAATTTGAAGTGTCTGGACTTATCATCCAATAAGCTGAAGACGGTGAAAAATGCAGTGTTCCAAGAGTTGAAGGTTCTGGAAGTGCTCCTACTTTACAACAATCACATATCCTATCTCGATCCTTCAGCATTTGGAGGGCTCTCCCAATTGCAAAAACTCTACCTAAGTGGAAACTTTCTCACGCAGTTTCCTATGGATTTGTATGTTGGAAGGTTCAAGCTGGCAGAACTGATGTTTTTAGATGTTTCTTATAACCGGATTCCTTCCATGCCAATGCACCATATAAATTTAGTGCCAGGAAAACAGCTGAGAGGCATCTACCTTCACGGAAACCCATTTATCTGTGACTGTTCCCTGTACTCATTGTTGGTCTTTTGGTATCGTAGGCACTTTAGCTCAGTGATGGATTTTAAGAACGATTACACCTGTCGCCTGTGGTCTGACTCCAAGCACTCCCATCAGGTGCTGCTGCTCCAAGATAGCTTTATGAATTGCTCTGACAGCATCATCAATGGTTCCTTCCGTGCATTTGGCTTTATTCATGAGGCTCAGGTCGGTGAAAGACTGATTGTCCACTGTGACAGCAAGACTGATAATGCAAATACCGATTTCATCTGGGTGGGTCCAGATAACAGACTTCTGGAGCCAGATAAAGTGATGGAAAACTTTCACGTGTTTCATAATGGAACTCTGGTTATAGAAAGCCCTCGTTTTGAGGATGCTGGAGTGTATTCTTGTATTGCAATGAATAGGCAACGCCTGTTAAATGAAACTGTGGATGTCACAATAAATGTGAGCAATTTTACTGTTAGCAGATCCCATGCTCATGAGGCATTTAACACAGCTTTTACCACTCTTGCTGCCTGTGTGGCCAGTATCATTTTGGTACTTTTGTACCTCTATCTGACTCCATGTCCCTGCAAGTGTAAATCCAAGAGACAGAAAAATATGCTAAACCAAAGCAATGCCCATTCATCTATTCTCAGTCCCGGCCCTGCTAGTGATGCCTCCACTGATGAACGGAAGGCAGGTGCAGGTAAAAGAGTGGTGTTTTTGGAACCCCTGAAGGATACTGCAGCGGGGCAGAATGGGAAAGTCAGGCTCTTTCCCAGTGAGACGGTTATAGCAGAGGGCATCTTAAAGTCCACGAGGGGGAAATCTGACTCAGATTCAGTCAATTCAGTGTTTTCAGACACACCCTTTGTGGCGTCCACTTAATTTGGGAATTTTGTGCCTATGTTTGTATGATGTCATAATCTCTTCATATTTAACTTCCCGTGTGGTCTGCAAAATAAACACCAGGACAGAAACTGTGTTGTTTTGGTTTTTGAAATACAACCAAATGGTCTCTTAAAATCATTGATAGGAAATGAGGTAAAGCACTTTGGTTCCTAAGTGTGCCAGAGAAAAATGGTGTTGTTTTCCAAAGTTTAAGTTCTAGATATCTAGTATCTTATCCTTTAGCACCGTTGATCTTTTCAAAGCTGGCCCGGAGGTGATATGACTGACATTATCCCTTTATTCAGAATTCTTAAAAGAAAAAAATAAACTTCATGTATTCGTGTTCTTTAAAAATAGACTTTGCTAACTTCTTAGGACCAAAGTTGAGTTATTTTAAAGAAAAGCACTAGTGTCCTATTTCATTTTTGAAAGACATGGAAGAAAGAATCAAGTAGCAAAGTATAAAGTAAAGTTGGATTTGGGAATTATTCAGCCAAAATCACTATTTCAGACAAGAGTAAACAGACTATGCTGATGAAATCTCCTGGATAATGCCACATCCTATATGGTGTTAGATAAATAGTGCAAGGAAAATACATTTGTTCACCTGTCTTCTTTCCATGCTGTATCCTTGTACAAAAGATCTCATTGAAAGTTCAAAGTCATCATTATTTGTTGCCATAAATATGTAGGTGTCAATACCCGAATGTCTGAGTAACTTCTTCAATCTTTGTTCTAGCACACTAATATTTGTTCATATGCTTGTGTATATGTAAATCTTAAATTATGTGAACTATTAAATAGACCCTACTGTATTGTGCTTTGGACATTTGAATTAATGTAAATATATGTAATCTGTGACTTGATGTTTTGTTTTATTTGGCCATTTGAAAACATAAATCTAAGATGTTTTATGTGATCAGATTATGATATTTTGTATAAAGCACCACCTGTAGTAAATCTCTCTACAAAATCCTTATAGTATAGAATTTATTTTTAAAGAGGAGGAAAGGCTTTGATGTATTCTAGACCAATTTATACCTTCTATATCACATTTTATTCTGATATCATTATGCATTTTAACCAGGTTTGGAAGACACTTAAACTCAGATTTTGCAAGAAGTGAGAGCCCGGGAGACCTCCTTATTATCTCTGTCTCTGCCATGAGGTAATCAGGTACCCTCTCTGAACCTATACTTCCTCAGCTGTCAAATGAAGGTTTCCGACCCAATAGTGTTTAAGGTTCCCTCCCATACTGTAATTGATGATGTCCTGGTGGTCTTAGCTCCATCGGAGACTTACACTGGCTTTCCGAAACTTTACCACATACTGATGGAGTGCAGGAATGGGATTAAAATAGCCTAGCATAGCATTGTATAGCTCAAAGGGGTGTTCCGGATCACCAAGTCCTGCTCCTTCCCCTTTCTCGGGGATGAATGGGGCCCTAAGAGAGTTGTCTGTTATCTAAGGCTAAACAGTGAATTAATGACAGAGATAGAAGGAAAGCTAGGGTTCGGCATCTTCCCTGGCAAAGATAAGAGGTCCACAGGAATGGCTGTCTTTAACAGGATGGGCATGGAGAAGGAACCAAGGATTCAGACAAAAGCGTGATCAAAAAGAGGCAAAGGAGAATCAAGGATTGTTATAACTGGGGCTAAGAGAAAAGAGAATCTTTAGAAGATGAGAGTCAGCAACAGTGACATATTGCAGAGAAGTAGATGAGGACGGAAGATCAACCACTGACTTTGCAATGGTGGTTTTCTGTGGAGTCAGTAATAATATTAATAATAATGGACACATGACACTCCCCTGAGTGCCATATTAGACTCTCAATGGCAGACTATGCAGCAGGGGGTTAAGGAACAAGTGGCCAGGAAGTGTCCCTTTAGGGACTAGGATACAAAAACTACTGCTCAGTAGCATTGAAAATTCCTTATTGCATGATGTTAAACTTACTGCTCCTGCCTCTTAAACGCTGACCTCACCCTTTAGACAGTATCCTTCATAGCCAAAGATGTTACAAGTAAACATTTTATTCCGGTTAACCATTTAAATAATTAGGAAGAATTCTGTGATTTGTATGATCTTGGAAATCATCCCCTCTTTTTTCATATTTGGAGAAACCCAGACTCAAGAGATGCTGTGATTTGTTTAGGATCACACAAGTAGGCTGGACACAAAGAAAAACTCTTGAACCACCAAAGTTCTCTGACAATGGAAGGGGCTGCCGCAAGGGGCCGTAAATACTCTAATTTGGGAGTGCGATCGAGCCAGGACCATCCCTGACAAGGAAGCTGGAAAGAGGATCTCTGAATTGAATCTTTTCTCGATGGGATCCCTTAGGTCCTTCCAGCCCTCAAATCCTTGATCCTGGGAAATAAGTGTTGCATTTGGCAGGGAAATATGGACAGTGCTAGGAATGTGGGCTTAGTAGAGCCTAATCTTGGTGGGTCCTAATACTCCCTTACTGGTGAAAAAAACAGGATGAGCTGAAACAGAAACTAAGATGCTTATCACCAAAACAAAAGAAAATAGGAAAAAAAAAATCCTGAATACTGAAAAGCAAAGCTGCGTTTTGAGCAAAAATAGGAAGGCATGGTGATAAAAAAGCACGTGATTGAATGCTGTGATGTAGAATTTTTAATTTCTTGGGTGTATCAATTTTTTGGTAGGAGCCTGATCACATGTATTTTAAACATAGGAACAAAATTAATTTGTGCTTCATAAATTTGTCTCACTCAAAACTTTTGTATAATTTTCCTTCCAAGTAATAATCTGGATTTATGTGACTGGGTTATTCTTCAAAGCCACTTCATATTTTTTATTACCTAGTGGTGAGAGGGGGAGACTCACTGGAGAAATCAAGCCAAGATCATAGAAGTGAAATTTTGCCAGACTTGGAATATTTTTTCACTGTAATGAAGACACTGGGTCTACTATTTCCTGTATGCTTATGATAATATATTCTATAATTGATTGTGAGTTAAATTTTTATATGCACTTTTAAGATTTATAATCTGAAAGAATGGCCTAAAAGATTTTCTTATTTATAGTCCACTTCTGCATTAGTCCTCACTGTTTGGCCTAGAGACATTTAAATATATTCATTTTGGGCTTTAATTGCTTGAATGATTTGCACAGAAAAATGGTTTTTATTTTTATAAATAAACGTTTTTCCAAGATGCCCATCAGAAGGGACGTAGGTGAAACTTATGGGGGTGGAACATAAGAGGGACAGGAAGACACATTGGCAGTCCAAATTCTGAGACGACATTTGATTTTGGATCATCCTGCCCAGCACTGTTGAAATAGGATACAGCCTAAGCATCCCACCACGGCATTGGCTTTTCCTTTGTCACAGCTGCTGCTTGCTTACTGCCACCTTCCACTGTCATCTGGCTTACCAACTGATCTAGCAGTAGGTCTCAAACTAAGCTCCTCAGAAGGCATTCAGGGGAGAGTTAAACAAACAAGAGTTTCCAGCAGCTAACTCTCTACCTACTCCTCAGCCGGAGATTCTGATTCAGGAAGTTTGGGATAAGGCTTGCCCATCGTATTGTTTAAAAATTTGCTATGCAATTCCGAATCTGCCGATTTTGATGAAACACATCCTGAAATGGGACCATAGCAAATGTTGTGTTTGAGGCTATATCAAAATACAATATTCTTATTTGCTAATTCATTTATTAATAAAAAGAATCTTAGTCCTCTAAAAAATATTCCAATATATTACAAAAGCAAAAGAGCTTGATTCTCTGACATTAAATGAAACATAAATTGTTGGCTGTAATTTATAAATGTTTCTAAAGTATAAAAAATGGAATAATTACTTCGAGATGACTAAATCCCTAATTCTTTCATTTTTTAAGCTATTTTTAGTTTGAAAGCAGCTACAACAGATCAGGTTCATAACAAAAGCTTTGGAGCTTTCAAATTTGATTAGAACATAGTAAAGTAAGGATGTATTCCAAAGGTATTTAAGTGCAGATTTTAACTACAGACAACCAAACTCCTTTGCTTTTCCAATATATTAGAATAATAGTTTTTAAAGAGAGCACTGAGATTCTTATCACGGTTCTCTCATCCCTCCCTCCCCGAGAGCCAGTCCCCAAACCCATGTTCTTTATGTATTATAATACAAAAATTCATGTGGAAAGAGGATAATTAGTTTTCCCTTGCAAGTATTATTGGACAGTAATATATAAAAAGTAGAAATAAAGATTCTTATAATAACCTCTTGAATAATTTAGAGGACTATTTAAGGGGCTATTGTTGCTTGTGGATAGATTCCAGGGAAGGGAGCCCTTTTACAATAAAGACCAGAATAAAAAGAATGCGGAAAAATAGACACTTTGTAAATTGTAAAATGTGCATATGGCATTTATACTGGCTTTAATTTATTAAACACCTACTAAGTACCAGGCACACTGTGAGAGGTAGTGTTTATTTATTGTCATTCTCATCACAGTAGCCATGAAAGGTGGGAAATATTACACATGGGACAAGAAGCTCAAAAAGGATAAATAATTTTCCCAGGCAACCCAGCTTATAAGGTCATTTTATCATGATAATCATTTTTTTAAAAAGCTCTACACAGTGATAGTGTAGGTGTTCTACCAATAAAATGACTTTGTAAAGCCATTGGCTGTACAGATCATAAATAAACTCTCTGTAAATGTAAGAGTGAGTGTTGCTTACAGCAAGTCTGGGGAGAAAAGGAATGGAAGATCAGGGGATCACAAGTCATAATAAAGGTGGACATGATTTTTTTCCTATAAAACACAATATGTCACAAGTAGCAAAGTTGGAAATCTACCTGAGAAGATAGGGGTTTGGTAGACTGGGCTTCCTCCTGTCTATTAGCTTTTTAATCTGGTTGCACTTCACATTTGAAATTGCTTAATATCAAAATAAATATCTGCTTTCCCATTATAAAATACATGTCAGACTATGTAAATGAATAAATGATTAATGTCAATATGTTTTAATTAAAAATGACCCAAATTTACAGAATAAGAAAGTTCTATTTGAGGAAGTATCAGAGAATTTGTTTTAAATTTCTAGAAAAGTGGTAGAGACAATTCAGACCCTATGGGAAATTTTTCCAGCCAATTTTAAAATTAGATTTCTCAAGATAATTTTTAAATTATTTCACAGGGCAGCCTCACTGGCTTACTTGATTAAACTTTTCTATAAGGTAATATGTTAGCAGAGTATCCAATATACTTTTAGAGACTTGTAGTGTCCATAGGATGTTAGTGTCATGGAGTCAAGGGTCATAGGATCAAGGTTCATGGTGATGAATGGCTGGTAGTAACCAAGAGAAGATTACTGAGCAATGATAGATACTGTGGAGCCATAAATGATGTACAATAACTACTCTCTCCTCTTAAAGAAGATTACGGTACAGCTGAGAGAGTAAACAAATAAACCTAAAATAATTCAAGAGTAATTAAGAGTTGATTTGTCTACCATTGACAGTCGCCAATAGGAGGTGAGAAAGGAAGATAATTGGCTGAAAACTCACTTGAACCAGCTGAACTAATGTGGCACGGGCTTGAACACTAAATAACCATCCCATAGATGCTGTGAGCGTTACCTTAGCTAGGATCCTTACCTTCAGAAAGCTGATATTTTAGGAAATGGCTGAAATGCTCTGAAATGAGGGATCCTACTTAAAATTCTACTGCTGATACATTATCGTTCTTGATCAAATCTAGAGGAGAAAGGGACCTAAACATTTCGCACTTGTCCTCCACACTCACACTCACCTCCATCACAGTTAGGATGAAGCCTTCTTAAATATGTCCTAGTCATGCCACGAGGAATGAGAATAATGACATAATAACATTTCTTATATGTAAGCCCCATCCTAAGGGCTTTATGCATTTTGTCTCATATATACGAGGAGGATATTATTTTCATATACATTTTACAGGTGAAGGAACTGAGGCTTAGCAATGTTAAGTGATCTGCCGAAAAAGCTGTAGTAAAGGAATCAGGATTAAACTCAGTTTTGTCTGGATCCAGAACCCAGTCTCTTATTGTCTATATTGTAATAAACTGTAATAATTTTCAGCTCCACAAGAGGGCCTTGCTCATCATATCCCCTTTGCCTTCCTACCTCCTTGCATCTGGCTTGAGGCTGGCTACCTTCTGTGGTCTGGCCCTGCTTTTAAGATTCTACTTTGTGTCTTCCCTTGCAGTGATCTCCCCTAACCCTGACAGCTCACTGCTTTGGCCTTCTACCAATGCTGGCTTTTATTCTTGGGCCTCTCTAGACATTCCCCATCTTCCTGACCCAGATCTTCAACTTCTAGATCATATGTCTTCCATCTCTTGATCCAGCACCTAGCATGTAGTAGGTATTTGTGCGTCTTAACTTTTCAATTATATTCATTCATTAATTCAGCAAATGGTGTTAAATACCTGATATGTACCTGTCCCTGCACGCGACCCAGAGGTCAGCCATGATCAAACTAGTCCCAGGCTTCAAAGAAAAGCAGAAATATAGTTTTATCATGAGGCAAGTGCCCTGATACAGAAATGCCCAAAGGCAGGGAGGTCAAGAAAAAGATTCGTGGAAGAAATAATGCCTAAGCAGAAGCTTCAAGGAAGACTGCATGGTTAGAGAGATCCTGTTTGTTTTCCACAGCTGACAACAGCACGATGGAAGGCAAGACTGTGAGTGTGTCCTGGGTCCGTGGGGATTCAGCTACAGTGGCTGTCAGGAAACAAGGGCGCC